AAAACACCCCCAAAGCATAATGCTTCCACCTCTGTGTTTGACAGTAGGGATGGTGTTCCTGGGGTTACAGTCAGCATTCTTTTCCCTCCAAACACAGCGAGTAGAGTTGATGCCAAACAGCTTGATTTTGGTCTCATCTGACCACATTACATTCTTCCAAGCCTCATTGGAATTATTCAGGTGTTCACTGGCATACTTCAGATGGGTCTGAAGTTCTCTGAACATGGGCCCTCATGAACAGGGGTACATTGTGAGCACTGCAGGATTTCAAACTATACCTGCCTATTGTGTTACCAATGGTTTTCTTGGCGACTGAGGTCCCTGCTGCTTTGAGATCATTAACGAGCTCCTCCCGTGTAGTTCTGGGGTTAGCCCTCACTGTTCTTAAGATAATTGATGCCGCACAAGACGAAATCTTCCTTGGGGCCTGAGATCCAGGGTGATTGACAGTTATTCTGTCTTTCTTTCATTTGCAAATAATTCCACCAACAGTTGTCACTTTCTCACCAAGCTGCTTGCTGATGGTCATGTAGCCCATTCCGCCTTTGTCAAGGTCAACAGGCTTGTCTCTGACATCCTTAGACAGCTCTCTAGTGTCTCCCATGGTGATAAGATTGAAGATCTAGAAAGGTTAGTGACCAAAGAATACTCTTTAAACAAAGTAATGCCATTAAATGTGAATGCTGGCTTGGTATCTGTTAATACTTGATTAAGTACTACTTGTGTTGTGTTAATGCACACGTACTTGACCTAATTTCTTGCTGACTTGTAGGGGATCAAATGCTTATTTCCCTAGATAAATGACAAATTGATTTGGACCTGTTACATAATGATTTTTTCTTATTTTGTTGAAGATCTATCTTTTGACGTTTAAATACACCTACCATTGAAATGAAAGACTTCTCATTTTTTTAATAAATGGACCTAGTTAGGAATTCAATAGGGGGCCATATAATTATTTCCCTCACTGTACCACTGCACTATTGAATTCTCGATACTGAAGGGTGTTGATTCATAGCTGCAGCTATGAGAATGGGTACAGACTGTTTTCTCTTGTTAACTCTTGCTTGCTTTAGGACATCAAATACTCACTATCCTGGGTGTGAAATTTCAAGACCAAGGCAACCACAGTAGGGTCCTTATCGGGGCTGAGGAATGCCGAATCATCCACTGGTTCTCCAGCAACATCACCTGCCTTCTGCCCCAGCTTCCTCCTGCCCTCTACAGCGTGCAAGTCCAAACTGAGAGTTGGGGCTGTGCTAAGGCGAGGTACACTCACTAGTGTGATACTGATGGATTTATAATGAAAATTACAGTCTGTTTAGGCAACATCTGACAGAGTTGCAAAAAATTAATTCCTTTGCATGTATTGTGGTAGGAGTACTAAGACTAAGATGATTGAATGAGTATTATTAAGAAAATGCTGGAATGTTGTTTCTAATGTAAAAATGTATGTATGTTAGGACAATTGGATCTTGTACCCAATAATTGACAATTCTAATTTTGCTTTCCACCTGGATCAGCATGAAAGAGAATGCCACCATTGAGTATGTGCTGAAGGTGACAAGCATCCACCCAACACAGGGCTCTCTGTATGGGGGCACAAGGCTCACAGTGACTGGTTCCGGGTTCAGTTCCAACATATCTCAGAACCTGGTCTCACTGGGTAAGTTCCCTGACTACTCTTAGTCAAAGAACTTTATAGGCAGCCCGTTTATCTTAAGCTTTGATGTAACAGGCTGGAATTTGGCTTTTCAGGAGATGTCAGGTGTGAAGTCATCTCAGCTTCAGAACACAACATAGAGTGCATCGTACAGTCAAGTGAAAAAACCTACACTGTGACAAATAAGGGAATCCATCCTGGTAAGGGGTCCTGGACTCTCCCCCGAAAAAATTCAACCCGACTAAAAAGTCACACTACCAGACATTACATATTTCTTTGAAGTAGGCTGGTTTGTTTACATGTAACTTCCTTCTTGAGCATTCTCTCAGGAATGTAACAGCTGACTGACAGCATCAATGTCTCGCTCTTTATTTCAAGATTATGGGATAGGGTACATGTGGAGTCCCTCTTCCATGACTGCTCAAGTTGGCGACACTGTGGTCTGGCGCTGGGAGGTGCCCCCTTTCATCTCTGGAGTCGGTTACAGGGTTTTCAGTGTCTCCAGTCCCAGCAGCACCAGTTATGATGGTGCGGGCTTCACCAGTGGGGACATCAAAACGAAGTCTGGTATGACCCTCCGAAGGATGAACATGGCTAACATCAAAACGAAGTTCAGTTTTAACCTGAGATGTTCATGAGTAACAAAATTAGTCCAAGTCAAGTCTCAGGTCTCCATCATGGTTCCAACTTAAAATTATTATTTACCAAAAATTTAACTGACTATTTGTTTTTTTTTCTAGTTGTAAATGGTGTGACTAAATGGGAATCAACACTTGAACAGTTCAAAAACTGCATGTCTCATACTTCCTTAGGTTTATATACATTTTCAACGTAATTGGTATTTCAAATGCCTTTGAAGCAATAAAATATTTGGTAACGCTTTACATTAACTGCACCTTCATAATGCTTTTATATTGCATTCATAAAACGTTCAGTACACCTTCATGATGTATTCATTAAGTATTCATAAAACATTTATAAATATCATGCAAGTACACCTTAACATGCAAACATCCCTTAACAGCTGTAATATACAATAACAAACATTACATAATAATAACAAATATTATAATTGTATAATCATGTAATGTTTGTTAAACTGAGTCAATTTAGGAGCGACTGGAGTGCCCATCTCTGATGTTAACCATACTGATTAGTGCAAATCTAATGGATCTGAAATGTTCTTTAAGCCTACCTTCTGAAAAATGTATCAATCTTTTTTTTTTGATATTTTAATCAGGGTTCTTTAGCTACCGTTTCACAGCTCCTGGTACCTACTACTACAGCAGTGGCTACGTCGATGTAGGAATGCAGAGGTTCATGCAAGGTGTGGTAAAAGTTCAGTCTCTGCAGGACAGAGACAGCAGGCTGAACCTTACCGTGGGAGGATTTGAGGCTAATTATCAGCCAGGTAAACATACAAAACCTTCTGTAACAACTGTGAATTACAGTGTGAATTACGACGTGCAACTGTGATTAGCTTCTGATAAGTTCAGAGGTATAAAATTTTTGTTCCATTCTATATACATGGTCCTGTGTTTCTGCAGACTATCAGCTCTCTAATGAGTCAACATCTGAGCGCACCTCAGAGCCTCAGTGCTTCCAAAATGTGGATCTCACCAGTGGATTCTACTTTAGCTTCCTGGCATGTGTCTCACCTTCTGTCAGCTGCATCATGCCTAACAATGGCACAGGTGACACTATCATCCACATCGAAGGCAGTGGCTTCAGCAACACCAGCTGTGCTAATGAGGTAAAGCATTAGCATGAGATACACTACTTAAAAGCTGTGATTTCACATCTATCAAATTTGTAAAGAAAATAATTGCAGAGGAGGAAATAGCTGTGATTTGTCAGATGTGCTTAACTCATTGATAGCATTCAAATGAGTATCAAATATCCATGTCTAAATATATTTAAACATTCCAAGAGATGCACTTACTTTTCTCTCATGATTATAGGTTAATATCGGGGACCGGACTTGTCATGTGATAAATAGCACCACAACATATATCAACTGTCAGCTTGGCTCTGAGAGCGGCCTGGAAGTTGGGATTGCCCATCCTGTTTCAGTGCAGGTGAATAACTTGGGCATGGCAATCACATCGATGATCGGCGAGTTCGGTCGACGATTTGTCGTCCTGCCTGTGATGAAATCTGTAACACCCAAAGCCGGAGGCACCACTGGACAAACCCGCATCATTATCTGGGGCTCAGGGTTCTTGGCTGGCCTGGTACCCACAGTCAGTGTGGTGGGTGAGCCCTGTACCATCTTCTCCATGAACTACACTACCATCATCTGTGACACCTCCTCTGCTTCCGCACTTACTGGAGATGTTGAGGTCATGGTGGGGCCCATCACTGCTTCCTGCCTTGGTGACTGTCAGTATGAGTACTCTCCACAGTTCGTCCCCCGCATCACCGGTGTCTCCCCAAGCAACATCAGTGGGAACTTCACCACTATCACTGTCATGGGTGCAGGGTTTGGAGACCGGGTGGATGATGTGGTTGCCTATGCAGGTTACACAGCCTTGGAGGTTTTGGAGGTCACAGACAGTAACATAACCCTCATGGTAGACTCACTGCCTGCTGGCCATCATATCCTAAGGGTAGTGATCCTGACCAAGGGCCTGGCCGAAGGTGACGTCACTCTCAGCAGCCTTGCCATCGCTACACTCAGCCCAGTCACTGGCAGCACCCAGGGTGGCACACCCCTCCTAATCACAGGCAATGGCTTTTTGGAGGGGAACACCTCTGTAACTGTGGGGGGGTCGCTGTGCTTGCCTCAAAGTGTGAGGCCTAACGAAGTGCGCTGTCTGACAGCTGCCAATGCGGAGGGCAGCGTACAAGTGAGGATACAAGTTCTATCTGTGATGTACCCAACTATGACTTTCAAATATTCATTGAACGACACCCCGATCATCACAGCAGTGAACCCTGCCACAGGTATGTGGATTAATGTGAAGCAGCAGCTAATAAAAAGAGTTATTTATTAAGTACATCAATGTATGGTAATGCTTTACATTAAGTGCACCTTCATAATGCTTTTATATAGCGTTCATAAAACATTCAGTACACCTTCATAATGTATTCATTAAGTAAACATCATGTATGTATACCTTAACATCCTAACGTCTCTTAACAGCTGTAATATACATAATAAACATAATACAATAATAACAAACATAATTGTAGAATTGTGTATTGTTTGTTATTAATGTATATTAAAGGTGTTTTAGGGATGTTAGGATGTTAAAGTGTACTTGCATGCTGCTTATGAATGCATAATGAATGCATTATGAAGGTGCACTGAATGTTCTATGAATGCATTATGAAGGTGCACTTAATGTTCTATGAATGCAATATGAAGGTGCACTGAATGTTCTATGAATGCATTATGAAGGTGCACTTAATGTAAAGCGTTACCCAATGTACAACTACAGATGCCATTGAAATACTGTTTTCCTCAGGCCCCCTATGGTGCTCCACATATTACAAATGCAAAAAATAACATCCACTAATGGTCAAAACAAGACTATATATTCTTAGGCTAAACCAAACACTGATCTACTTTTGAATCCTCGTTATTATTAACTACCTTGATTTACACCTAATACTGTATTGTTATACTGTAAAGAGTAAGAAATCAGAAGTGTTGGTATGAAACCTAGAACAATAGTTTGCTTAGGGAATCAGCAGTGGGATTGATTTACCCCTCCTGTTTCTTCATAATAGGTCACCGTGGGACAGCTATAACTATTGCAGGGTCAGGATTTGGCACAGATGCCCAGCTGGTTGAAGTTAGCATAGGTGGTACACGATGCAGTGTGACTGCTATCAATGATACCACTGTCCAGTGCACTGTAGGAGCACATGCTGGAGGAACTTTTCGCATAGTGTTCCACCACAAAATCAAAGGCTATGCTTCATCTTTGGTCGATTTCAGCTATGAGTTCCTGGTGAATGATGTTGAACCTCATGCAGGTAATGTCATACTTACAGTATCAATTAGCCTCTGTAAAGAAGAGAAAATGGTGGAAGGGGTAACATAGACTTCAAAAGTTAATAATTTTCTACTATTGCTTTGCTGCATTGTTGAGTCAATGAGAAATACTTGATCCGTCACTGTAAATCAGTCTGCTTTTTCTGTCATCTAGGGGGACATGGTGGTGGTAACATATTGACTGTTCAAGGAACTGGATTTGACCCTGACTTCTCCAGAGTGATGGTCTGTGGCAGGGAATGCAAGGTGCAGAGACTAAGGTCCACATTCACCAGCCTGTATTGTGAGATTCCTGAAAGCAACAGTAAGAATACGACTTTGAAAATACGTCCTTTTAAAATCTGGGATGAAATGGCACTCTTAATTTCAGTGCACGACAACCTGGCTTTTTGTTGACTTTCCAACATGGAACCATAGTTTAATGTTTCTAGAAGAGTGAATGATGCTTCTATTATACAATTTGTCTAGCGGTTTTGTCAGAATTATTTACAGTTACCAATCTCTAATTTTCCTCCTCGTGAGACCAAATTATTTTTATGAATATGGTAGAACCTTGGAACTCTTAACTCGACCAACTCAGACATTGAATGGGTCTATTGAATTTTTTTCCGCTTGTACCTCGATCAAAATCTTGGAACTTGAGACACATTCAACTCCAACACCAATTCGGACCTCGAACAGTTTGGTCGAGAAAAATCTAGCCGCGACTCAACCAAAAACTCGGAACACGACAGAACAAAACAGACCTGCTAAAACTTGTGCAGCTCGAGACACTTATCTGATGGGCTGAAACTAAGGCAAACAGACCTACTGGGATGCTGATACCCATGAATTGCTGTCAGTCTCACAGTACCTCTCGATCAAATTCAGCGTGTGAATGTTCCTGTGTTCCTGTGTTTTTTTTGCTTTATCTACAGTACGTTTAGTGATACAGTAATCATGGCAGTAAAGCATTGAGGGTAACTGTAGAACTTGGATGAAATATCATCAAAGTCAAAGTTCCCAATGAATAAAATGAATATGAGACTGAACACCCATTTTTCTGACCTTTAATTACAGGTACAGCACTACAACAATTTTGCACAGTCGAGGTGCAGAATGGCAACAGCTCAGTGAAAATAGTGGATGCCTTCTCCTACAACACCAGTCTTACACCGTTTATAACAACAGTCTCCCCTCATAGAGGAGGAACTGCTGGAGGCACAAAGCTCACAATCACCGGTTCCAATTTCAGGTTGCCTACAGAACTCAAATAATGCAAATATAAATATTCATTGTCATCCCTGATTATCCAAACCACAGACCATTTTCAAAACCTATATAAACGTATGCTATTGGATGATTAAGCTGTCCTCAAGTTACACTTCGTCTTTATAAATCCTGAATTTATTCCTTGTGTCCCCTTAGTGGGCTTCATTGTAATATGGCAAGAGGTATTTTTTCAATAAGGCTCCGTTAAAAAAATACTCTTCCACTCTTCTTCCCACAGCATGAACATCAGTGAGGTAAGCGTGACCATTGCTGGATCTGTGTGTGACGTTGAGTCTACCAACAGCACCCACATCATCTGCATCACAAATGCTCAGCCACAGTCCCAGAAAGCCATGGTCCGCATCAGCATTGGGAACAGAGGCATTGCAAAGACGGTCAGTGCTCATCATGTGTCCTCGACATTAACATTAACCCTTAACATCTTATGTGCTTCACCTTCTGTTTTTTCACTTGTACTTTTTAGGAATTCGTGCATTTCTAATAATGACAGTGTTTATTGGTTTCGGGACTGCTGTTAAGTAAAACTTTTTCAGTAATCCTTGTGGACACTGTATTGCGAATGGCACTGTACAGATTTGAATTCCTATATCTGAGAATTGACTGTAATCTGCTTAACTCTGTCTATATACAGGGCAATGCCGATTTCTTTTACATTGATGTCTGGTCCTCCGCGTATACATGGGGAGGCCAGTCTCCCCCAGAAACAGGCATGTTTGTAGTCATTACAAAGGGTCAGACCATCCTGCTGGATATGAGTACCCCTGTCCTGAAGATGCTCCTGATTCAGGGTACAGCCATTCCATGCATGTCCACCAGTGTTTTTAGTTGGTTCAAACCATTATGTGGGCAATTTAAATTATATTCAAAATGTATTTTACACTGCTCATTGATATAGTTGGATAATTCATTATGTTTCCAAGTATTTGGATCCATATAATTAAATTACATAATTCTCTGTAAGTGCCTCTGGATTTTGTGTTTAGGTGGGACCCTGGTGTTTGATGAAATAGATATTGAGCTACAAGCAGAGAATATCCTGCTAACAGATGGAGGAGTCCTTCAGGTAACAGATTTAAGTCCATTTAGCAGGCATGTTGGTTCCGAGAAGGAAACAGTCCACATAGTAAAACCCAGTTTTCCTGTAAAAACAGATAGGCACGGAGGCTGCACCGTTCCAGCACAAGGCCATTATCACGCTGCATGGGCACCTGCGCTCTCAGGAGCTGCCCATCTATGGCAGCAAGACCCTGGGGGTCCGCCAGGGAGTACTGGACCTGCATGGTGTGTCTGGACCCCTTTCCTACCTTGGACAACACCCCCACCCCAACTGAATATTTTCTTTACAATAGATATGTTTGCCTCTGTTTCACTTAAGAACAACACATTTGGTTACTGTGATAATACCTTCTTATGCATATTCTGTTGCGTAATATATATACATATTTCAGTGGAGTGTAGCACTAAGTAAAATGTTACGTCAGCTAGTTACTCGATTTATGAATGTGTATGCATTGTGGTAGCCATTTCTCCTTTTAATATTCAATGCTGGTTTGAATAGACATATCGCAAATGCCATTTTGCATTTTAATTCATGCCAGAGTATCAGGTTAAATGTCAGAAACATTAATGGCTGTTGGTGATAATTGTCATGAAGAGCATGACCGTGCTGTCCTAGGTATTCCAATTCCCACCACTTGGACGCATTTGAATGAGACGGCTCCCGCTGGCTCTTCCACTCTGACTCTGAAGCAGGCAGTGACATGGAAAGCTGGGGACCAGATTGCCATTGCTTCAACTGGTGACAGGTAGCTATCATTTTTTTTCTTGGGTGATTACAAAGAAGAAGCGTACTTTGCCTAATATTTAAGTTAACCTTACATGTTCCAGTTTAACTAGAAAGGACAAGTTTATTATTTATCTTAATGTTTTCACTATTCTTCTCAACCTTTCACTTTTTATGAACTAGGCACAGCCAGATGGAAAATGAGATGCTAACAATAGCCTCGGTGTTGGACAATGGAAGGACCCTGAACCTATCGCAGCCTCTTAAGTACACTCACCTCGGGGTGAGCGTCACACTACCCAATGGAAAGGTGTTTGAGGGGAGGGCTGAAGTGGGCCTCCTCACCAGAAACATTGTCATCAGAGGCTCCAACAACATCGAATGGAATGATAAGATAGAGGCCTGTCCAGATGGATTTGACATAGGTAACAAGCAGAGCTCCTTAGAATGAGCAGCTTATTATAATCTTCTTCATTATGTGATTTATTTATATTATGTCTTCCCTAATTAAAAACATTAAAACAAAAAACATGGGCAGATGTACTAACGTGTTTGTAAATAGGGAAATATCCGGAAGGAATAGTACTAAGAACTAGGATGCTGGGAGTCTGACCTGCCCCAATCATGCAATCAGCCATAGGTTTACTATGTCCGACCTTTAATGACACAGTACAGCGTGTGCTATCTGTGGACTGGCCAAGTGAGGGCAATGACATCCACTGATTATGTGATCAGCTGCAGGTTTCATACATGCGATTTTAAAGGAAAGGGTATGGCTTGTGCTATCTGAGGACCGGCCAAGGCACTGTTTACGCTGCACTCCCTAAAGTACGTGCATCTGCCCCACGGTCTCATTCCATTTTTGTTGGTCCAAAAAGCTTTTTTTTTCTTACTACAGGGGAATTTGCAACCCAGACCTGCTTCCAAGGAAGGTTTGGGGAAGAAATAGGAAGTGACCAGTTTGGGGGCTGCATTATGTTCCATGCCCCAAAGCCAGACCAGAATTTGGCAATTGGAAGACTTGAGTATGTTGAGGTAAATCATCAACTGAACTGATATATAAAACAACTTCAGTTTCACATATTATCAATGAGAGAACTGAAAATATGAGTTGATTTTTGGGTCTGTTGTTACAGCCTCTATGAATCACCACCTTGCTGGCTTACATGTCCTAATTATGTGATCAGTCACAGGTTTATCATTAAATGTTGTCAGGGGCAATTGCCCCTGGTAGTGTCTCCCATGGCAAAGGACCAGGGTAATTCAACTTTGAGGTACAAAACAAGGAACCAGAATCCTTTCCCAGGAAAGCAATGCTGGGACCCTGCCTAGGAGCCATGCCTGGGGGGGAGCTTGTCAGCGAGTGCCTGATGGACAGGCCTTGACATATGGGGCCTGGCCAGGCACAGCCCAATTGAACCATGTGGGACCATTTTCATGTGAGCCCACCACCAGCAGGAAGAGCGATAAGGGTCCCATGCATTGTGAATCGGGTAGCAGTCAAAGGCAGGGGCCTTGGTGGACCAATCATCATCTACCAATATACAGTACGCTTTAGGGACATGGATTTGCTGGAGAGATTATATCTCTCGGCTGGATTGGAAGGGCCTGGGTATTCCCTGGAAGAGCTGGAGGAGGTAGCTTGAGAGAGGGAGGTCTGGGCATCTCTGCTCAGACTGCACCCTTCGTGACTGGGACCCACATAAACGGTGGAAAATGGATGAATTCATGGATTGATAGATGGAACAGCCTGTTTTATCTAATAGTGCACGATATGGTGGTTTTCCACTGGCATACAGGAACCAGGCCATACCGACCTGTACAACAAAGAGACACTAGTTACAGCTCAGTTCCAGCTTGCTTCGATTTTCTACTGCAGAAGGGTCAGCTTGGTAAAGGCGTTAACAGGTTTGTAGAGTGACAGTGACGTGAAACCAAAGAGATGCATATACTGTATACTGTCCACACAGTGTACATCATGATTTACTATGTACTAAATTCCTCTAACACATCTGTCAGAATTACGTGTTATGTCAGCATCAAACTAGCAGAATCAGCATTTGCTTGTGTAAATTTGCATTACGAATCCACTCACATCAGCCGTTTGGTCCTACTTTTTCAAGTAAGAGGTTGGAAATTTTCAAGTTCTGAGTTATTAGGATTACAATGTGCAATACTACTAACAATGAATAATTTAGTGCATTTTGACCAATCAGATGGTGGTGACACAAAGATCTTGGTTTAGTCATGCTTTCAGCTCTGTTAGTAAACAGGCCCATATCAGCACGGGTACTAGTCGGGCACAGCTTGCATAATTTACAATAGAAAACCATCTATTTATTGTTCAGCTTGGGTATGGCTTGGTTTTTGGTGGCAGTGGAAAAGCAGCATTAGTCTTATTCATTAAATGTGAACTGCAATGCAGGACCTCATGCTTATTATATTTATTCTGTTCTCAGGTCTTTCATGTTGGCCAAGCATTCCAGCTCGGGCGAAGCCCCATCCATTGGCACCTGGTGGGAGATGTTCATCAAAAATCATACATTCGTGGCTGTTCCATTCACCAGGCTTATAACCGGGCTATCTCCATCCAAAATACCCACAATCTGTTAGTAGAGCACAATGTCATCTATGACATTATGGGAGGAGGCTTCTTCATCGAGGATGGCATAGAGACTGGTAACATCCTGCAGTATAACCTGGCTGTGTTTGTCAAGCAAAGCACCAGCCTGCTCAATGACGACATCACCCCAGCCGCTTATTGGGTCACTAACCCCAACAACATTATCAGGCACAATGCTGCTGCTGGTGGAACCCACTTTGGATTCTGGTATCGAATGCATGATAACCCCGATACCCCATCATATAACCCCAATATCTGTCCAAAGAGAGTGCCACTTGGAGAGTTCTTCAACAATACTGTCCACTCCCAAGGCTGGTTTGGCCTCTGGATCTTTGAGGAGTACTACCCTACTAGGTATGGCATGTGCTATTCATCAGATCCACAGCCTGCCCTTTTCAGATCACTGACTACTTGGAACTGTGAGAAGGGAGCAGAGTGGGTAAATGTGGGTGCAGTTCAATTCAGTGATTTTATGATGGTCAACAATGAGGTAGCTGGAATTGAGTGCAAGCGCATCATGCCCTGGACTATCAGAGGCTGGGGAAAGGACGGTGGGGCATTGGTGATGAACAGCACTATTGTGGGCCACGTCGATGTGCTGGGTCTCGGCTCTAAATATTGCACTGCTCAAGGGATCACCCTGCCATTGGACGATGGCATGAGCGTCATGTCCACAGCTTTTGTGAACTTTGACCGCCCGTCCTGCGCTGCCATCGCAGTGGCAATAGTTACTGGAGTCTGCACTGACCACTGCGGAGGCTGGAGTTCCAGGTTCAGTGGAATCCAGTTCCACACCTGTCCCAAAAAGGCGGCCTTCAAGTGGGAGCATGAGGTGGCCCTCATCGACATGGATGGCTCTCTCACAGGTGAACTCCATCAGTCTCTGCCACCATTTCACAACAAATATTAGTCAGAAAATTTGTCATGAAGTGATGAATAAAACAGAAAGTGTTGGTAGTGTTGCCATTGAAGACCTACCACTCAAAAAGATTCCTTCACAATGACATTGATGCACAGACCATGGTGAAAACAATGAATTTACAAGCAGTTCAGGATGAAACTGACAATCTATAAACTGTATACGATTATCCTATCCAGGGTCGCCTGGGGTCCAGCATGCCTTTTACATTAGTAGTCCAGCTAAAAACAATATGTGAGAAGCAACTAAAAAATTAGCAATATATCTTTATAATCTTATATAAAGGCTATACATTTAAAATAATAATATAACAAAAATAATAATAAAATCATTCTACAGATGCATGTCAATATCATCATCCCCAAGTACACTGTAACCAGCATACCCAGCTACATACGATACCACTTTCTAAATAATGGAATCTCATACAAAATAAAAAGAATTCATGGAGCAGCTTTGAGTACAGACTATGACAGTGGAATGCTTAGATATCAGAAAAAACAATGCGTGATATATGACATTTAAACATTTGTCTTAATAGGTCAGGAAGTAAAACACGCTTGTCTCACTAATCAGAAATTACAGAAACAAGCTTATTCAAGTTGACTTGATCTTTTACCGATAACTTAAGAATGCCGCGGCCCACTTTAAAATCTGAAAATCTTCTGTGGCCCTACCCAGACCTTTAATTACAATTTTGATCAACACACAAGACTAAGGTGAATTGTTTCCCTCTATATTGTCTATTTCATAAACTGAACAATTCTGTTTGAACGTGGGACTATGGCAGTGCAGTGGAGATTAAAAGTCCTTCCACATACATGTGACAATTTGTAAAGCAACAAATATAAGAAATTAAGTGCAAATGTTGAGATGTTAGATTTAAAATATCACAATATACAATCTAATATCAACATGAAGAGAAAACTGACAGGAAATATCAGCTGAATGTTGAATCCGGCCCACTTTCACATCTGTCAACATGCATTCTAGTGCAGTGACTATAATCCATCACTGCTGGGCTCATTACTGTGTAACATTTATTTTATTAGCGTGGATTACTTTTTTAAAAATGTAAATATTTAGTCATACAATAAACATTTTATGGTAATTTCAAGTTTAATTACAAAATGAAAAATTATTTTTTTAAATGTATGTATTGCAAATGACCTCACGCTGAAATAGTATATTTAACTTGCCACGGGTTTCCCCTGCTTTACAAATGTTTGCTTTATGCCACTTTGTCTTTATGAAAGATCTGTTTTTGCTGACTGAAAGAAATCCAATTATAGATATATAGTCACGAGAAGTTGCCTAACGATGCATTTCTCATAATGTATCCCTGTTGTTACGCGACACATGACTATTGATTCTGGTGAAACTACACTGTAGTTTTACGTGTTACACTCTCTGGTATGATTTGGTAGGTTATTTTTTCACTCCCATATAAATAAGTCGTAATCGCTTCTTCAGTTTATGCCATTACGGCTCACAAAAGGTTTCATAGGAACGCTCTACTTTCACAAAGCGGGGGATACCTGAATACTGTTTTATTACAATAAAGTGATTGAATTGTCAGTGCATATATACCTTAGTTTAATGTCTTTCGAAATATTGAGGGGAAACACAAATTTGGCATTTCGTCTTGTTCGGGCTCAGACTCACTGGACTTTCCCTCGGCAGGAAGCACTGGTCACACGGTTGTGCCGCACAGTGCTCTACTGGACCCAGACCACTGCGCAGTCTCAGTGGAGTGGAGTGCTGCCTATCAGGCATCTGTGTGTGATGAAACGGTCAGATTCCACCGGCTCATCATCACTTACCCACAGCCTTACTCTCTCTGGTATAAGGAGCTCATACTTACCAACTCGTTTGGTAAGACATGCAGATTTTACACTTTTTAATAATTTCGAGGTTTTTTTCACATTATTTCAGGCAGTACATGTGAATGAATGAATGAAATAATAATTGTTCTTATTCTCTGCACTACTTATAGGAAAATCCTCACTCACGTTTCTGACATACATGGTCACCCACTATTGGGGTTGGCTGGCAATGCTTCCTGACTCAGAAACGTATAACTGCTACTTTAAAGATGCAGATTACATCACATACATATCATATGGTGCTATGTTCTATGGGTTCAAGGTAAAGGAACTTTCAGTGTTATTATTGTATTTCTTTGCTGGTAAAACATGAAACAGACATAACAGAAACTCTTAATATAATGCGTGTATTATTAATAAATGCAGGTTGACATATTTACCTTTAACACAAGTACACCAGTTTGCCATTTCTGCTTGCCTCCTCTCTTCAGGAAGAAGATTACATCATCATCAATCATAATCTGACCCAAATCCCCGACAGGTTCCAGATTGTTGATAAGAGAAATGCTTCAGTGCTTCCTTTGAATTTCAGCAGAAATGTACATGGTGACTGGTACTTCAATGAGACCACAAAGAGTCTCTACTACATGGGTAAGTGCAGCAACTTCACCGGTGTTTTTAGGCCAGGAGTTTGGTTTTGGGCAAACCATGCAACCTCTATGTATGGTTCTGTGGGCTGCATGTAACTATTTTCCTGCCCCTGTCTGTTTCTGGGAGGGGGTCCGTTGAACATCCCCACATCTAGTCTTGTCTCAGTCTTATACTCTTTCACATCCAGTGTCTGGAAAGGGGGCACCCAAATGGAGGAGTGGCAGTGCTGACCCACAAGTAGCAGACATCCAAGTCAACTTCCAAGTGGAGCACTGTTTCTACAAGGGCTGTGTGGCACCGAGTCCTGGCATCCCTGGCATCCCTGGCTCCCCTGGCATCCCCCTTCCTCCAGGGCTCGACCATCAACAATCTTCCAAATCTAACCTCGTGTGAGTTTCCACAGCAAATTAATAGTATGGAAAGAAAATGATGCTAGGAGGAGCAGTAAAAAACCTTTAAAATAACAGAGGTAAGAAGAGATGCTGTTCTAAATCTGTCATTTCTATTTATGTGTCTGTAGCCTGTGGTCCAATGAAACTTTCTGGAAGTCATCTCCAGAAAACAATTTCAAAGTTCCAACTGATGGAGACGATGTTGTTATTCCTTCAGGTAACAAAACCTATGCTAACATTTCTAATAGCAATGCTCTCATGAAAATGTTTTGTGTTTCTGTGAAAATGCACGTGATTATGTAAAGAATTTATTATTGTTTATCTCTATTGTTTCTGCCTTTTTGCACAGCCATTTGGATGGTCATGGATATCGACATCCCATCACTGAACAAAATTTTGGTGCTTGGAGTTCTGGAAATCCCTGACACAATGAACAAAACACTGAACCCAGGAGGACAGTATAGAAATTTGATTATTAATGTGACCTACATCTCTATTCAGGTTAGCACTGATACCAATACTGTGCTACCTGCATGTCTGTCTTAATATAATCCTATAGTTAAGTCTGTCTTGCAGGGTGGACGGCTCATTGCAGGGTGGCCAGACAATCCATTTAAGGGAGAACTGAGCATAGTCCTTAAAGGGAATCACTTTACTCCAGAGTGGCCTTTACCCAGTGACCTAAATCAGGGAGCCAAGGTGATAGGTATGGATACTTTAGAATGACTACAAGTGTCAACCTGGATGAAAAGTTTAAATGTATCTGTTAACTATTGACTTTGGAGTTTGGATACTATTTTACAGGTGTGTTTGGGATCTTGGACTTGTATGGAAAGCCCCACAATATGTCCCGTACCAAGCTGGCCAGCACGGCACCAGCAGGTTCCAGCACCATCACTCTGCAGGATGCTGTGGACTGGCAGGTTAGCATGTTTACACCTGTGTGACTACAGGCATTTCTTGTTTCAAAGCAATGAAATATTACACATGAGTGATTATCTTCTGTACCGAACCGGCAACTTCATGCATATTCTAATGCACTTCATATGCCATCTGGTCATGGCTAAGGTAGCATGTTGCTGTGCTCCTTTCTGCCCTAGGCAGGTGATGAGATTGTCATCTCAACCACCAGCTACAACCCATGGCACACAGAGGTCCGGAAGATTTTGTCGATTTCAGCCACTGGGAAGATACTAACACTCAACCAATCCCTTTTCTACAATCATAGTGGTGAGTCTTCTGCAGGACAGAGATCAGAGGGTTGGTATCTCATTAGCAGCACTTAATGAGTGTTGCTTTTTTTTCTGGCCCATCCATAGGTGAAAACTTCACTGTTTATGAAACTAAGCAGAACTACACTCTGGCTGGGGATGTAGGCCTGCTGAGCAGGAACATCAAGATCATCGGTGAGGAACATCCAGGCTGGGCCAAGGAGTCATTTGGAGGCAGAGTGCTGGTTGGCTCTTTCTCCAGTGGAGGGATCACATACAGAGGTGCTATGCTTATTGGCTTAGAGATAGAATGGGCTTCTATCATGAATTTTCTTGTTCTGATAATTGATTACTATTACCCTATCCGACCAATTCAAGCAAATTGTGTAAATACGAATGCAAATTGTCAGGTGCATGACAAAAAGTCAATCTGAAATGAAAATAAGTTGACAATCAAGAAAGGTTTTGTCAGATGCGATGGAAACTATGATAGATGAGTAAAGTAACAAGAAGGAACAGTTTTCTGATAAGATTTTCCTTAGCTTTTAACCTCAAGGGCGGTTTTACTCTGCTCTTTCTTGTGGGTGTCTTAGGGCAAGCACAGATTAGGAATGTTGAGTTCTACCGAAGTGGACAGTATGGCTACCCAGACCCCGAAGACCCTCGCTACTCTGTGGCTTTCCTCAACCTGGGAGAGGTTTGCTCATAAGCTGATTGCCTTCACTTAGCCCTTCATGTTGTGCAGCAGAAGTTGTGACGAACTAATGCTGTGGTTTTTACTTCTGCCTCCTGTTCTGTAAAGGTGGCTGCGAATGAGTCCTACATCCAGGGCTGTTCCTTCCATCACGGCTATTCTCCTGCTATTGGTGTGTTTGGAACCAATGGCTTAGGCATTGATGACAACATCATCTATTTCACAGTTGGAGAAGGTAGATAGCACTCTTATCTTCAACATGGGAATACATATCATTACGGTGTGTCACAAAAATTGATTTGATGAAAACCAAGGACATAGAATTTTTGATGCGACTGAACTTGTGATTGTTGTTCTCTTGAACAAGGCATTCGAGTATGGGGTAAACACTGCAGGGTTCGGAGGAACCTGGTAACGATGTCCGTGTGGCCTGGAACCTATCAGGACAGAGGAGAGGAGACTAACTTCAACTGGAATGCTGCTATTGAGGTCAGTCATATTGAAACTCCATCCACCTTCCATATGCTTATCCAGTATAGGCAGAGGGTCACGCACACACACATACACACACTACAATTTTAACTGTTTGCCTTCCCACTATGAGAGAAAACCAAAATACTTACCAGAAATGTGCACGACAGGAAGAAACTGAAAATCTACACAAACGATGCCACTAATTTTTATCTCTCTCTTTACCCTGCTTTTCCTGGGGTTGTGCAGAATAACTTGCCTCTCTGGAGCCAAAGCAAAACCATAATTTTTGGGTGTGTTTATACTCACAACCAGCTACAATATGCAACAAACACACAGTAGCTGTCAGTCCTCCTGTTTTCAGGTTCTCTGATTATTTGTGGTTCTTTCATGGTCAGGTAAACGAAGGCACGCATGTGGTTCTCCAAGATAACATTGTGGCTGGTTATGAGAGAGTGGCATATCGCATCAACGGAGAACCTTGCCCAGGTAACAGTGATCTTGGAGGACAACCAGTACAACAAAATGTCCATCAAAAGCATACTTGGTTCATACTTAATAAAATGTATGAAAAAAAACTTCAGTGCCATTTGTCCAAACAAAATCACTTACATAGACTGGTTCTGTAGGCACGCCAAATGCAGTGGAGACTTGGCAGCAGAATGAAGCTCATGGAGGCCTTTATGGAGTATACATGAACAAAGATGGGCTACCTTTCTGTTCCCTCATTCAGAATTTCTTTGTGTGGAGAAGCTTTGACTACGGCATTTATGTTCAGGTAAAATATAACGTGGGGCTGAACCATTCTGGCAATTTCACCAATAATCACCAATGTCTTTTTTAATCAAGAAAGTTGGCCATGCACGGTATAAACCAAGACAGGAATTATGGATAATAAAATTTATTACAATTCTCCCTGGGAATTTACACCTCATACTTGTATCATCACCAGCCCAGTCAGGAATACAGTAAAATCCAGCTATAACGATCTTCAAGGGACCAAGCAAAAGAGTCTATTATATCCAAGGTCCGTTATGTCCAGAGTTGCTGTATGCCCAGTCCGCTACATCCAATGCGTTTTCTGCATGTTCGTAAAGGCGCGCGGTTGGGATCAGCGGACCTCGTCCGTTGTAGACGATATTCCGTTATTAGCGAGTCCACTATAACGGGATTTTACTGTACCCATGAAAAGCTGAAGTTAGTCACAGGAACCAAGTCTACCCAGATACATGTTTTCCACAGGTTTAATCTGCCTTGTGCCCTGTGTTTTATTTGATAGATTTCCGTTTCCTAGTGAGCTAGTGAATTAAATAATCAGATATAATAAACAGAAAGATGAATGGAAAATGTATCTATGTTTAATAATCTTATATGCATTTTTAAACTTTGACAGGCTTCCATGACTGTCCTGATCTCCAATGTCACACTGGTGGACAACGGAATGGGAGTTATGTCCATCATCTACTCACCTCCATCTGTCTCACATGAGTATTCCAACAAAAAAGTTCTTATTCAGGTGAGCACAACCAGAACTTTCTTTGTTCCTCAAATGGGAGCTCCAATGATGTAACAGCCTCTCACAAGATGACAAGGCGATAATCCACCTGTTTTTTCCTTTAGCATGCGCTGATTGTTGGCAGTAGCCCTAGTCTGGACTGCTCAGAGATTCTTCCATCCACTGACGCTAATGTCCAGTTTAGCTCCGAACACAGAGCTCCCAGACCAAACAACGGTAATAAAATTTTTCTTGATGTTAACAATCCCTGTTGATGTTATTTATCTCTAATGCTAATAAGTCTTAATACTGCCTTGGGGCTGTGAACATGGCAGGTGGAAGGAGTGGAATCTGCTGGCCAACTTTTGAATCAGATCACAATCATGCACCTGAGGAACCTCATCATGGAATCACGAGCTACAACGCTATCAGTGGGCTCATGACAGTTACTGGTTAGTGTCTGCCTATTCTCTGTTCTGACAGCTGCCTAAAGCAGAACATCGCTGGGAATTTTACTTTAACAAAAGTTCCCTTTATGACTTTAGTGTTATTCAACATGAGGTTTGATTTGTCCGGTTTCGGAATTAAATATTCTGAACATTGTGTATTTGCTGTTTCTAGATACGGTGTTTGTGGGATTTGGAAGCACTTGCTCTAAGCAAACATCTGTTATCTTCATGACCAACCCAAAGAATGAAGATATGCAGCACCCACTTCAGGTTAAGAGGGTGACTGTAGTGGACAGCACAGAGGATGCAAAAGTGTTCATCCACAGGCCAGATGTGAGGTCAGGAAAAGCTCACAAGATGCCAGTCGTGTCACTGCTTGGGAAGGAATATGATTCTTTCCTGTACACTTCATCATCATTCTCTACCTTGAAACTGTCTCAGGGCAGTCCAACCTTTTTCTCCATAATAGGATGGTCAATCCTGCCAAGTGTCTGGACATGGACTGTGATGCCAAGAAGAAAGCTCTGCTCAAGGACCTGGACGGCTCCTTTCTGGGAGCTGTTGGGCACGTAGTGCCACAGTCTGAGTTTGAGTGGAATGGAGACAAGCGCCGGGGCCTGGGTGATTACCGAATCCCCAAAGTCATGCTCACTTACCTCAATGGGAGTCGCATCCCAGTGGACCAAATTGCCCCCTATAAAGGCAAGTGGCTCACATTTTCCTTTCTGTGCCTTGTCTCCGATTTTTGGTCAACCGTTTCACAGTCATATGTTTATGATTTATTCACAGTTGACCACTGAGAAGAAAAATAACGACCAGTCTGTTTTGACCAATCTATACAGGAATCATCCGAGATTCTAGCTGCACGTACATGAATGCATGGCAAAGTTACAAATGCTTTGGCCTGAATTATGAGATGCTGGCGATTGAGAGTCTTGACTCAGACACAGAGACCAGACGGCTGTCTCCAGTAGCTTTGCTGGGGGATCGCTATGTGGACCTACTAAACGGTTTGGTGTTTTCACACAGAAACAGTCTATCTAGTCTTAATGAACAATCAGAAAATAATTAACATGCATTTAGAAAACAGACACTGTAATACTTTGATGGCATCACTATCCATGCTGTTATATGATTTGTTTTCAAATGTAAATGCTGAAATATAGAAACAACATCCAGTGTGAAGTTATTTTAAAAAACATCCACTGATGTGTTTATTGGGACAGGTCCCCAGGACCATGGCTGGTGTTCAGGCTACACATGCCGCAGGAGAGTGTCTCTGTTTCACAGCATTGTGGCCACAAACAAGTCCTTTGATGTGTTCTTCACTAGCACTTCACCTCAGAAACTGCGTCTGATGTTGCTCAATGCCGACAACTCAAGGGTAAGTTCCTTTCACTTAAGGCAATTGAATGTTACAATAACTGTGGCAAGGTATAACACAATAATGTGCCTCACTACCGGAAAGATACGCAGGACAAAAAAAAAAAAGGGTCGTCTTTGAGTATCAAGAATAAAAAAGTTCTGAAAAAAATATCATAACACAGACACAAAAAAAATCCATGTACACTGTAGCAGGTATAGGAACAGAAGCATACAGATAAACATGAGTTCAGAAAAAATGCTCCCAGCATGCAGGTTTATTATGGACAGCGAGAACAAGGGTGGACGAAATGTGGAAGGGCTGCATGGTCTGGAAGGTCCAGCAGAGTTGTTCATCTCAGTCAGGGTGTGGCTTTGGGCCCATCTGATGGGCATCACAGAACTACAGCTAGGATGGAGGCAGTAATCAGATGCTGGTCACAGTGTTTCTCATGGAGTCTTGCTTTTAGCTCCTGAGAGACCCTTCCCAGATGTGAACCAGCTGGGGTTACTAGTGTGTGACAGGTGTGCAAGATTATGACTAGGCCGGCATACCTGGTTCTTTACTGAGATAAGTTTCCTGCCGAGATGCAGCAGCAGGGTTTCCTACAACTGGGCTATAAGGGGTTCCTGGACGGCACCTTCAGCTGCCAGGGCCCATCAGACTATTTCTGGAGCTCTGCAGCAGTGGAGGAAAATAAAGGAATAAAGCCGCTATTTTAGCCAGCCAACCCTAGGAAGGCACACAGCTGTGCAGCCACATTGTCCACGGGGTATCCTGGATGGTGGCAACTTTCTTTTTGGAATTCAGGAGTCTGTCTTGAATCTTTTGCTTTGGAAAGCCTTAGGCATCACTTTGGGGATGTGGTAAGGAACTCAGTTGGGCCATTGCTGAATGATTACCCTGGGAGGGGACCGGATGTCACGGTAGGTTACATGTCTAGCCAAGGGGGGAGAGCCATACATTCTGATACTAGTTAAGGAGCTTTCGTGTCTCCTGACATCTAGAATATTTAACTGGCTCCTGATCGCTACTCCGTCACAAGCAGCAGGTTCCTGCCAGGGGGACCGGCTCAATACAAAAATTGTTCTATTCCTCTTTGTATCAAACCTCTCGGGCAGAAATAACCTCAAAAGTACAGTATACTGTAGAAGGTGCCTCCACATAGTTGTCCTGTGGCAATAAATTTTGGATGGTCCTTTGGCCGTCTAGGAGGGTGGTCCTCTAGGTCATCATTTGCTGTTTCTTGGACATGTTCCATCAGCATGGCCTACACTGCACTGGGTTTTTACTCCCGATGGCACCTTCCCAAATGTGTGCCAGCTGGGGTCATTAGGGGAAGCCAGGCCAGGAGGGTTAGGGTTAGGGTGACTTTTGACAGCTGGTTCGAAACAATGGTGCTGAAATTTTGGTGCTGACTGAAGTTGGCAGCTACCTGCATTTTGGCTGCAGCAGCTGTGGTTTCTGGGTTCAGCAGGTGATGTTGTGGCACCACAGTCTTTCTTTCATAGAACTAAAATAAGCCCTGAATACACCAAGCTGACCCTATATAGACCCTGAAGAGCAGAGCAGTGTGACACAGACTCAGATCCACCCCTGTGTCCTTCATTTTCAGTCTTACTATGTGAAATTATGTAAATACTTTTTTGTTTTAATAAAGATTTTGCAGAATTTTGTTGTGTTGTAGGACTTGAGAATAATGATGATCAGGATGGTGAATTAATCTTTACACAGGCTGTCCGGGTGGCTATTTTTTACTCCAAACCTCAACGTTTAGATGTCTATGTTAACAAAAGTTTGGTTGCTCCTACCAACGCAATCTGGAACAGTGATAAAACAGACTTCACTCTTAAGGAGCCCACTTTCAAAGGTAAGATGTTTAAAAACCACTACCAGGCAATGTTTGTGATGAATGGCTGTAATGTAGAAGTGAGACAACTAGGGAGAAACCAAACAAGGCTGATGTGCTGAAATACCTTTCTTCTCTGACTTCTTCCAGGACAATTTATTCCAAAGCTAGAATCAGATGCTGCTGGGTCAAACTTCTTCGAGAGTACTTACAAAATGTTGAACATCCTGGTGAGAGGCTCCACCCCTGTGGAGATTCGTACCTCGCCGCTGCTCTTCATTTCCTTCCAGCTACCTGCCATGACAGAGGAGGAGTTCTTTGGTGACAATCTGGTGAAGAACCTGGCCCTGTTCCTAAAGATCTCTCCTAGTATGATTCGGGTCACCAAGGTAGTACGTGAAGGCCAGCAACGGAGACGACGGGCTACTGGCTTGACTGCGGTGGTGGTGATTAGCCAACCTCCTGTACAACAAGCCACCAACACAACCAATGGTGAGAGTAGTGATTCTACACAATTGCTCATTACATTGCTACAGGCTACAAACCCAGATATTTTTGGATAAATCTAACAAGGGTTATTATAGTTTTTTAATCTTCTTTACTCTATACTATTTTCAAATGTTTATGATAATAGCTCAATTGTAAGCTGCACAAAAATTGCAGTTTCCCCAAAAAAATTATTTGTACAATACTGTACAATATGTAGAGCTTTTGTTTTATACGCCTTCTCTATAAAAATGAAGAAGGCACCAGTCTGTAGGATTGAATTCTACAACTTCTTATGTTTCGTTAATTTCATTTGAATTTTACTAGCAATATTGCACTGATGTTTGTTACCATCAGAATCAGTCAGGACAATAAAGTAAGTTGCTATATACAGTACTGTACTCAAATGTTATACAGGTTAAATAGCTGGTAATCGTACTTTAGACGTTAAATGCCATTTAAGCCCGTAATTTTTGCTGAATTGCTTTTTCAGTCTTTTTTAAAGACCGTTGGACACCCTGTGCAGGAAAGAATCCCAGTTTTCTCCTTCAAATAATGCCAAGACAATGTGTAAATGGGCTTGCTTTGCCACTTTGTCGCATTAGCTGTGCCCTGACCTGAAATAGATACTAAGAAACTAATAAAAAAAACCAAAATGACTATTTTATTGGCCCAATGAATATAACCTCACTCATTCTACTTAGCTTCTTTCGACAGTTTGCACTCCGTATCTGCAGTTACGCATCTGCAGATTCAAACAACCGTGGATTGAAATTATTCAAGAAAAAAATCAGAAAGTTCCAAAAACTAAACCTGAATTTGCTGTGTTCTGAGCACTACACTGAAAGTGAAATTTGGGTAGACTATCATAGTATTTAGTTAGATGCTGGGGCGACTAAAAAGTAACGTGGCTTCATTCATTTTTTTCCACTGCTAACGTTCTGGTTTGCGGTTCTGGTGAGACTGAATGCCAGAGATCTGGTCCTTTGTTGTTTACCCAAACTGCTTTATTGTGCTAATAATGAAAGAGGCTGGTTATAATTCAGTATATGATCCAGAGTCTTTAGAGTGAAGGCTGTATTTTCCCTTGTTATTTGCAGTGTATTAGGTATTATAAGTAATCTAGAGAAGATTTATTGTATATGCGAGAATGTGCGTAGGTTATAAGCAAATACTGTGCTTTTTTATATAAGGGACTTATAGCATCTGGAGATCTGCAGAAGGTCCTGGAATCAAGCTCCTGTGGATATGGAGGGCTGAATGTATAAGCTTTTTAGATTACCAATACGCTTTGTTTTGTGACGGACTCGATCTTCCTCACTTAATTTTAGTTAACAAGAATTATATATGGATGTAATGTATAGTATTTGTACTAAACACTTTAAATTTTAGTGGCTTCACTGACAATATGAGAATCTACTGTATAATGACAGCTGAATTATGTGCTCACAGAAGCGCAAGCCTACAAGGATTTGATGAACATTGCTAATAATTTGGGCCAAGCCTCTGCTTCTGGCAATCTAAGCAAATTAATTGGGATCAACGTTGGGGCTCTTGGGTTCATTCCTCCAAATCCTCCACCTTCTGACCCAACTTGGGCTGAGGTAAGATGGCTGGTGGGGAAAGACTCCCCTTTGTGTGTAATTTGACGGTGTAGGAGTTTTGATGTTTAAAGTGCGTATGCAGAGCAATAAACAAGCAGCATCCACTTAGCAGCAGCTAAACTTTGAAAGTGCTCTATAAACTATATATCAACTAATTCTATCTATATTCCTAACTTATTAAAAGCACACACTCACACAAAGCTGCATCAAGTATAACAGAAAATGCCTTCTTTGAACACAAAACTTGAATTCCACTGTTTGCTCCATTGCATGAATTAATTTTGTGGTTGATACTTTTTTGGCTTTTATGCTTTAAATATTTTTTCTAGTAACATTTTAGAAAGTTACTAAGTGCTATGGTCTGTATTGGTCATTTCTCAAAACACCTTTAGAAGTAGAGGAAGCTATCAACTTCCAGCACTCTTGTGTTCAGCTGAAAAGATAGATGAAGGATTGTCACTGGATTCCCATTTGTTAGGTGGCCACTCAGCAAGTCACCAGGGAGGCTCCCACTGCGCTCTTTGTGACCAGAGTGGACTCACTAAAGGTGATGGTGCAGCCTGAGGCTGGGGAGTTTAATGGCCCCCTTCTTCAGCAGCCCTCCATCATGGCCATCGATGTACAGGTCAGCAGACTTCAGTCCATATAAGGCATATTAGCCTGCCTCAAGTAAGCACGAGTCATAATGTTGACAGAAAACCCTTAGACAGTTTTAAACATCAATTTATCATGGAAATTATACTGTTTCAAGAACCAAAAAATAATTTCTTTCTTAAATTTTTGTCTGTCCTTCACCCACCCCCACCAAAAACATTACAGAATTAAAAAAATACAGAAATAATGGGCAGAATTAAAGCAAAGGCCATATAAAAATTAAGAAATGAACTAGGGCTTTCCATTAAAGTACAATACAGTTAAAGAGCACTTCACTAGCAGAAGCAATCCGGCAGGTGGGGGAACTGAAAGGTGCAGGAATTTAGAATTTAGTTTTCCTCAGCAGCCTGTCGGCCAACACTATCTGTGGTTCCCCTGCAGGGAAACTGTGTGTCTTTGGGGATCACATCGCTCATGCTTACAGCATCACTGAAAAACTCCAGTGGCAGCAACATAGAGGGACTTATGGGGAACACAACCATCCCCTTTGATGGCTGCTGGGCGAACTACACTGACCTTTCCATCAGTGCTGAGGGTATGTGTCCTCTTTTCACTGTCCCACCCTTATTATGCGGATTTATACATATTTTTAGACTTCACTGCCCAATAAAGTGCATGTATTCTGACAGTCTGGTAGAAGATTAACACAAACACTTGCATTTTCATGTCTTTAGGTATCGGCCTGAAAATGTACTTTATTCTGAATGAAGTGAGCACTGAATCTAGATCCTTCAGGGTCGGGACTGGCACTGCAGCTGTTACTGGCACAGCAAGTGTTACTGGCACTGCAAGTCCTTCTGCTAGCCAGTCATCCACATTCACTGGAATACCACTGATGTTCTCTGCTTTTCTTTTTTGCATAAATTTATTCTTTTCATCTGTTCTTTTAAGAGTGTAAATTGTAATCTAACCCCTGTGGTTATCTGTGGACCTTTGTATTAGTCCAAATTCACTTTCTTTTAAAATAATCAAACATACTACTTTTTGTTTCCACTTTCAAACAACTATGAGCAGTTTCGTGTTGAGTAAATATCTGCTGGAAAAGTAAGAGAGGTTCTTATATTTACCCAAAGTTAATGATAGATTTTTAATTTAATTCTTAGAATGATGCATTGATAAAAAAAAAATATTTAGGTCAATAAACATGGAAATTTACGTATCATTTGTATGATTTTCTTGTGTTTTTCATTATCAACATTGTGTCAGCCTGGTGCATCTAATCTCATATTGGACATCTGTCAAAAGGAACATCCAACGGTTCTCAACAGTTGCAATTCTAGCAGTAGTTTATTTATCCCAAAGTGGCTTGCTACTAGGTGAGGTTAAATTGTTATGCGTCATGATTTGTTTCATTCTCAAAATAGTTTCTTCAAAAACAGCTCATTATACGTGCTGTATAAGAAGTCGAAGTTGTTCTTGTTTCAATTTAAATTTAAATAAGCAAACACCATCAAGCGACATATAAGAAATACCTTAATAAATACCTTACAATCCAACAACCCTCACAATACTCGGTATACAATGGAACTGGCCATAGGACCCTCATTCTTCTTAAGCTGCTATCATGGGGCCAAAAAAAGAAAACAGACAACAAAGCAGAAGGAGCAAGCAAAGGGAAAATCCAGGAAGAGGCTTAAAAACACCAGAATCTTCAAATAGGACTGAGGCAAAGAGTCCAGAGAGGCAAAGGGGAGTCAGTAGGCAGTCATTACCCAGGAGGCAAAGGGGAGTCAGTAGGCAGTCATTACCCAGGAGG